GGCTCACATGTTAATGAACAAATTTATTTGTTCTCTAGTATGTCTGCATTTATCCAGTTGCTTGTGGAGGCTCTGTTTGACAGCTGAAGTTGGGTCATAAGTATGTACCTGAAACTAGAAAGGCTATGATAACCTAAACTTCTCTTCTTCCTGGTGAATATTTTAGATAGTTTATATACAAAGACGTATTGAAAAGCTGACCTTGATTGCTTTCCATAAACTGCAAAATGAGAGAGAGGATCCCAGCACAAATATGCACCCACTTAAAGTATTTTTCTTGAATGTGCTTGTTGCTTCAAACCTCCACGTGGTTAGAAAAACAAACTTCAGCACTAAGACTTCTCAAATCTGCATTGTAAAATAAAATGGAACATACACTCCCGATGGTAAAATATATTTGCTAACGTGTTCCAAAAACCATGCTAGGCAAAAAAAAAGAGTTGGATATAAAACCTAGCAGATGTGTTTTTCTGTTCTAGTGAAAAAAGCACCTACTTACTGGAATGTTAGGGAGACTCAAAAGAGGATCTGTTGGATACAATATTTTCTCTCTTTTGGGAAAGATGAGGTGGAGAAGAAGTTATTAAATGTTTACTTATGCATTTGTAAGTTTGAAAGCATTCATTTGTTCACTGCTTGTAAATATGATCAGTAGAATCTCTGAAACTTGCACATTTTGTAAGTGCTGATCAGTGCGGAGAGTTGCCTCCAGTAAATAGTGTCTTTATGATACAAGAGGGAAGGGGGAGAAAAAGAGGGAGAGACCAGGTATTTTACAGCTGATTTTACAGCTGTAAAACCACGTTTCTGGTTATTTGCTAGTGGCATGGGAGGGGAAAGGGGTGTGTGTGGAGAGGATCAATTATTTTATGCTTGGATGTTAAACTTCTTCCAGCAATCTAATGGGGGAGTTCTCTTCTGAGAGAACCTGTATGTTGATTATATAAAACTGGGCTTACAATAAGTATAACCAAAAGTGCTTAAGTCCTTGCTTTGCATTTTCCGTTCACAGTTAAGAGCTTGATTTTCTTTTGTGATTTAGTTGGCTGCACCTGAACTGCCTTGAACTACTCATATTAAAAATGTTTTAAGAAGCTTTTTTTCCTTAAGCTCTGTATGTTCTTATTTCAGTTAATTTGAGGGTCTAGTAAATCAGGAGTAGTCTTGCATGAGTCAACACAGACTTCTAATCCGGTTCTATGCCCAGTGCTCTGACTGCCTTCCATACACTTCTTATAGACAAGTGCAGAGCACAGCCTGGTCTTGCTGCTTGTATCCACGTTGCTGTTGCGGGGTATCTATCCTGTGCAAGTAAATATTTTGTTTATGCTTATGTTAGGCTCCTGGAAGTTATTTTCGGGGACTTCTTTGTTGGTCAAATACCCACATAATTACAAAAATGTGATTGATGTGTGCTTGACTGTGAATCACTTGCGTTGCAAATGACTTAAAACTTTCAGCTGTTAACAGCTTAAAAGAACGTTTGTAACAGGCACATTTGTTTTTCTGGTACAGGTGTACTGGAAAGATGAACCTTCCAGTGAGATTCCTGGATAAAGAGGGAAAGATTAGTTACTCTTCTGCATTCTGACAGAATTTTAACCTACGATTCGTTCCCTTGAGACACCTGAAGGATGGTGGGTTCTTACAGATGAATAGGAACGAGAATGAAATGCTTCCTCCGAAGTGTCATCTTTAACTGTAATTTAACTTTCCTGTTGACATTTTCTCCTTCAACGTGAGAGGAAACGTTAATAGAAGGGAAAGATTAGTTACTCTTCTGCATTCTGACAGAATTTTAACCTACGATTCGTTCCCTTGAGACACCTGAAGGATGGTGGGTTCTTACAGATGAATAGGAACGAGAATGAAATGCTTCCTCCGAAGTGTCATCTTTAACTGTAATTTAACTTTCCTGTTGACATTTTCTCCTTCAACGTGAGAGGAAACGTTAATAGAAATTTAAGGTAATATTTTTAAAGGGCTTAAGTATTATCTTCAATATATATATTTCTTCCTGTTGGGAGTTGTAAGATGTGTCGAGTTGTGAAAGTTGACTCTGGTGTAGAGAACGACGTTGTTAAAAACGGACTAACAAAGGCAGCGTCTCGCTTTAGCGCATCAACACCGCCTCACCTGTCGTTTGGACCCCGGCGTGTGTAAACGAGTGTGGCAGTCGGGAGGGGAGTAGCGCTTCCTCCCGAAGGAAACGATCGGCGCTCACCCAACTGGTTGCTTTTCTCGTCCTCCTCTTTTTTAGTACGAGGAGGAAAAGCGCTTCAAGCGGTTCACGAGAATCAAAGCCGCGCACCGCACCGCGCGTGGAAGTTGCGGC